AGAGCTTCAGGCATATCTGATGGCAATATTTCCTTAGCTTCAGGGTAGAATTCAGACCAGTCGCAGTTGGAAAAATGTTTTTCATCTATCACAGGTTCAGTGTCATCAAACACTAGCTTGGATTTCTTGTGTTGCTTTAAGTAGGCAAATATTCGAAAGGCCTGRTTCAAATGGCCAATCCGCGCCTGGGCAAGATACCTTGAGAGCAGTGAAACAGGATGTATAATATCCAGTCGACCGAGCTCACATAGCCATCTTAACACACCAATCAAACCTTGGTAGTAGTTCTGCGCACGCTTGTCTAATTCTTCTGTGGGGTCAATTTCAGGTCTGTAATCAGGGGATAGGGGAGTACTGATCTTCTTCTTTGGTAGGTACTTATAATCGTATTTCTCTGGCCCCAGCTCCTGTTCCACAGCTTGAATCGCCTTCTCGGTGTATTTTTCAGCTGACATGGCCCACCTTTTGATGTTAAGGCCAGGAATCTGATGTCGACTGATATCGGCGCCAAGATATAATGTAGGCTCCTCAATAGTTCCATCCTTCAGTGTGAACCTCTTTTCAATTGATTCCAACATCAGTCTGGGTTTCATACCACAGCACAAGATGTCATCTACATACGCAATCAGGTAGGCCCAATATGAAGTMCCATCAGGTCTCACCTCTTTTCGCATGTGTACATCGGGATCGGCCTTACATGAAATGTAACCGAGTTCCCGTAAGTGGCTTGTAAGATATGCTCTGAATGATGCACCTGCCACKGGYARACCATATAGTGCTCTGACAATTTTGCACGGCCTGCCAACATACTCCTCTGAGAAACCACATTCAGCAGTAGCAATCATGTAGTATTTCTCCTTTATCGGGGCTGTCAAATAGGCGTTTTGAATGTCAGCTGATAAGACATCCAAATCATTCAGGGCCGCAAGCAGAAAGAAAATCCTAACAGAATCACGGCTAGGCACACTGGAGTAGGTGTACTCTTGTGACAAAGCAGGGACCTTATGACCATCACCACATAATCTGGCCTTCCTTGTTAAGGTTCCCAGCTTTATGTCAAACACCATGTGAGCTGTGATTTTCTCGTGGCCAACCGGAACTTGATCTTTCTCGTTGAACTGGAATGCAACCATGTTATTGGTCATTTCCTTGCAAACAGCTTTGGTCCAATAATCGGTCCCAGTCTTCTTATCAATCGCTATTGCTTCCTTGATAGAATGTGGAAGTTCAACACMATATTTGTGAGTCCGTAGCCAGTATTTGTTGCTCTTGACTGCCTTGATGATCCTTTTAGCTCTCCGGATCACCTTGTAAACCCACCATCTGAAAGCAGCTTCATTCGCAATGTTATTTGCAATTGCATATTCAGCCAGCTGAATAGGAAAGCTCTCCTTCATATCAGACATTTTCACCCAGGAYGAGGTCCCATCCTTCCAGCTTACAAGGACGCGCCAGCCCTTAGTTGTAGGCTTGTCCCTCCACTGGTTACTTGCTGTCTGAAACCTGGCATCTTCATTAGAAAGAGCCACATCAACATCCTTCTCATGATCAATAATTTCATCCATGAGTGTGTAGGTGAAACCATTGTCATCAATAGAAGTATAAATATTCTCAGCCACAAGGTTTGCAGTATGCTTTTCAATACTCCCATCAGGCAATTAAATATTATACTCTCATGTATCAAGAAGTGGGTTAGGATTTCTCTGGCCTATGGGCTTTCCATTGAGATCCTTTGCTCTGTCCTTCACAACACACCTCAAACGCTTGTCTCCAAATTTGATCATAACCATGTTACCAACATACTCATCATAAGTAGAGCCATTTGGTACTAGGTCATCAACGTCTGGAATTGAAGCATTGGGTTCAGCAGCTGTGA